TATGTTTATATGCATATATCAATAGTTCAATGTTGGGTACATGCATTGAATATAGTGCACCTTTTACTACTCAATTGAAATTCATTATGCTCCGTCTAAGGGGTTCTCGGTAGAATGAACTAATGTTTCACGACGTTGATTACCGTGTAGTGCTTGTGGGGGGCGCAGGTACGACATATGTCGTGCTGGAGCAAAAGCACAAGGACGTTCTGAATCGAGAACGACACACGTCGCGATATCAAATGAGCCAACTCCAAGAACAACTACAAAGACAGTTGCAGGTATGGCCAGCCATCATCTTCATATGAAGTATTTGCGGTTACAACATTGAAATGGTCTCAAAAGCACTGTTTATTGTGCGATCCAGCTGTGACGGCTAGTCTTTAACTGTATATTAGTCTTTAACTGTATATATTTTCTAGCGCAATAGCATGCACAAGCTATCAAGCACGGATCAGCATGTTTCGGACAATGCGCAAACAACCTTGTACTCGATGGTGCATGTTTTCACCTTCTCTCCGAATCTGCATTGTTACGTTAAATTTATTGAAAGTTCCAAATAAGCGCCACCGAAAGTTGGCTAACTTGACAAAGTGCACATGTTCAATACATATATACCCCGTTGCATCCTATTGACTCACATATGCACATATGAATGTATTGCAATTATACTTAGATTTCACGAGCCAACGTACCAATCGCCCCTGCCAACCGCGTGCAACCACCTACTCCTGCAGCAGCCCCCGGCGCCGAAGTCGCAACACCGCCCCCATACGATATCATGAAATACGGATTCCCAAGTATGTGTTCATTGTGCAGACAAGATGCGCGCGAGATCAATAGATGTATCGCAGCAATATGTTGTCACCGAACGCTATGCATGGATAGGTGGCGGCTATGTACGAATGTATGTCCCATAAACAGTGTGCCATGAAAGATGACAAATCACTATAGCCCGGGGAGCGATGTTCCATGCGTGTAGTATGTGCAGGGGTTTAAAAGGTCAGGTTTGCACACTATGTGCTTCGGGTATTGAAACGACGAGTGAGTGTAAGGACGTGATCCTGCCCTCGTGCAATGCATTCCCTATAGTAGACCGACCAATGGGTGTGGAGTTGTAGTCACTGATCGAGTGAATTGAAATGAGGGCGTCTCTCAGATGATGTGAGGGGTTATATGTTCATAGCAGTTATCCTTTTAGGGTGTGATTGCCGTTGATCGGGTCGTATAGCATCACATATCGGACTGCAACCGTTGTCACCTGCGCGTTTGTATTCTGCTCGCACGAGAATTGCCAAGACCTTTATGGATATATCCGCCACTTGCACATAATGAGATATAGCAAGCAGTGATATATATACACACACACAAAGAAAATGGGAATCAACTCTCGGTATGACCAATCAGCTGAAAATATGCGCTTCTGTTTTGTGTCAACTGATTGGAACGTGTCTTGTGTCTATGATGTTATGATTGGTTTGCAACAGGTCTGGAGAATGTGCGCTATCGAGAAGGGCACGTGCTCTCGTACGACAACCGTAATAAGACGGCCAATTGGGTCTGCGAGAAATTCACAGCTCAACACCTCAATGCAGTACGTATGCTTGAATTCGCCTTCGGGTGATATGTATGCGTGCGTGTTCACTGTGTGAATCGGATTAAAAGAAATAGATAGAGTATAGTTTTGTGCGTAGCTGACGGGTGATGCATGTGTTTGCGCTTTGGATGTATCATCGCGTTTCAGACGCCCAATGCAGAATGGGGTTGTATATATATTTGCTACTGGATACACGCTCGTATGGCGTGGTCCTTGAGAGTTCATTTTACGCAATAGCTCGTTCGCATGTGCCAGCAGGTGCGTTTATACAGACGCCCAACGCAGAATGGGCTGTTTGTATATTTGCTACTAGATACACGCTCGTATGGCGTGATCCTTGAGAGTTCATTTTACGCAATAGCTCGTTTGTATGGGTGCCAGTGGGTACGATCAGGTCTTCCAAATAGTCGCTATTCATCGGACAGCCAGCTCCATAGTCAGTTGGCCGTATGTGTTTGTATTTTTTTTGCACTATTTTTTACCAGACAGGATTTTTCTTCTTACTTTGACACTATGATTTTGCTTTAGCGTTGCTATTCACTTCTGTGATCACGTCAGTAGTTGCCTCTAACCTAATCGTGCTTGTTCGCTGGCCTGTTTACTGCGGAGTTCGCTCACATCTACTGGATTTTGTGCGCACCTTGTGTAGAAAGCGGCTGATCGAAAGAAGACGCAGTTCTTTGAAGACCAGGAGATATACGAGCTGTGGAGGGCGAAGCTCTCAGATTACAAGTATGACCAAATCATTGACGCGAATACCGAAACGTGAATAGATTGCAAAGTTTATATTGTGTAGTGTGAAGTGATATACATTGCACACAGCGTGTGGCCTTCTGCGCACATGTCTAGTGCCATATGAGTGCTTGTCTGTGCTGTGTACACGCGTAGCTGAAGTAGAGCTTGCATGTAGGACGTACGCGAGACAGTAGCGAGAAGAGAAGGGAAGAGAGGGTAGGCATCAGTTGAATTTAGACTATGTGCAGTGTAACAAATGTTGTCGCACATTCGCGCACACACGAGCGAGCTCTCCCTGCCATACGAACGAAGTATCGAGGGAGTGCGTATGTTTGCTTTGTATGCACACAAGTCTCATCTAAAACATTTAACTGTGCTACATTCATGCTACAAACAGACGCAGTGGGTATGACCGTGGTCACTTAGCGGCAGCGGGCAACCACAAGTATTATCAGAAAGCCATGGACGCGACATTCTCGCTCAGCAATATGAGTCCCCAGGTATCACAGAGTATCACTATGCGCAGGGCGTTGATACGCACAGATTATAACCACGCGTAGGTTGCACTGTACAAACATACGAATTGTCGACCGCTTCGTGCAGTGTCATTGGACAGTCAAATGGCCGATTCCTCAATATCCTTGAATTCGCGGCGGATACTCACAAGTGTGTGAGTGAGACGTACATTCGAGTGCTTATGTGTGTATTTGCGTTAGCACTGACTTGTGTGTTAGTGTGTGTATGAGTCGGCAGCCGCTTTCGTTGGATGGCCTCCATCACCAGGCGTAGTTTTGTTCTGTTGGTGACAGTATAACAACTATGGTGCTATATATCCCCTGTGGAATAAGCCAACGGTTCATGTAAGCATTTCTCACACATAGGGCAGGGCACGTGTACATACCCCCGTGTGCACCCGCAAATACCTCCCCACACGCTGAATGCCACTGGACTGAGTTTACCTACAAGCCCGTGTAATTAAAGTACCAACGATGTCACGCACAAGCTTTCACTCAGACGGCTTCAGAATATGTGAATCGGTGGTTGACTATCCCAGTCTCTGGAGAATTGTAAATGCGGGAGTTCTCTGGGCATACCATTGCCATTGCTCCTAACTACTTTGTCTACCAAGGTTAAGCGTCTTGATGGACCAGATGTATGACAAACGTGTCCAGTGACATGTGTTATATATATATATATCGGATAATGGGGAACAAACGGTCCAGCCCAAGTTGTGAGGCCTTTGGGTGATTGGCGAAGTCTCTCAAACTTGAGAAAATCTATGATTGGCCTTTGATTTCAAGTACGACAAACTCGTGGGGGTGTGGACACACTCGATGTGTGAACTCAAATTTGTCGTTTGCCTTGAAGTGAAATATGCTATTGCGACTGTTTTGTACAGGTAGGTAAGGGGTTCAATCAGGGATACTGGAAAGAACTCGAGGACTATGTCCGGGACCTGACGAAAACCAGCACAAACGGTATGTGTGAACTACAACACAACATGTACAAGCTTTTAAAGCATAATTTATTCTTTTGGCTTCCAGAATCAGTTCGTATGACATCCGTATCCCGCCTCTGGCAGAAAAACATGAGATTGTGCCTATACCTGTAAACACTTCTCTCGCATACACTGGAATTCGATGTCGCTCATCGGTGGCATGTACAAGCCTGCAAGCAGTATACTCCCCTAAGCAGCATACGTCCTTGTGTGCTTGTGATTTTTCGATCGCCAGCTGCCTTACTTAGATAGGGTTGCAAGGGGTCGGTTGCACTATGTCTCTGATTGTCATTTAGTACATTTAATATTTAGTCAGCGTATGCCGAGTTAGTACAGCTGGTACTAGTAGTATGTGTAGAATGCCAGATACGCACCTTCAGTGATGTAGGTGAAGGGAGATATCTCTGTGATACCATGCGTGACATAAGCTGCCTGCACATTTTCTCAGTACGACCATCTTGAAACATATACTACTGATTTTGGCCGAACGAATACGATGAATGAAAGCACTCACACATTGTTACGCTTTTTATTTGAGTAGTCTATGTGTGTACGGGGCCGTTATACTTGCCGAATGAAGTCAGAAACGGCAAGAAATACGTCAGGTTTGAAGTTATTGGTGAAGGAAATGTGGCCGTTCCCACACACTTCTTCAAGACGATGCTGTGCGAGAAGAATGATGGGTACGTTGCAGTATTTGGAACCTGGCGCACGCTGATACCTCTTGTTCGATAATATACGGTATTTATGTGTTTTGGGCTTGATAATGTAAAGTAGCGATGTGCTTGTCTGTTGTGTGCAGAGGCGGGCTAGGTTGATAGGCAAATCGGAGGCGCATTGAATTATCCTGAGAAGTGATGTAGGAGTTGTTACATACGCAATCGGCTCTCGTTTGATCTATTGAGTTTCTACTGCATCTATAGAGCACGGACAAAAAGTACCAGGGGTTAGCTGCACGCCTTAAATTATTGATTGGAAAGCACCAATTTTACATCTCTAGTATAGCTGTTAGGCCCCTTAAGGGTACTCGTCTGCTCAACTGTGGGATCTACTATTGCTGCGAAAAACTCGTGCAGACGGTGAGGGTAACACGCATGATATATCTGGTTCAGCTCGGCGTATCAGACTCATACACTCAACACTCATTCAACTGATCACTGTACCAAGAATGTGTGGCGAATAGATATCAATTCGTGATGCCATGAAACTCTAACTGGTGTGATGTCGATGTTATCTCAGAGTTAATAATCCCTGTGTATCGTAACAGGTCAGTAGCGATTGAGGCATATATACTGCCCAACGAAGTGATTGATTCGAAAATACCTCTGAAGCAATTCCGAGTACCGTTGCACAAGGTGAGAAATCAGATACTTGATAAGTAGTTCGTGTCCAAAGGTCGATGTCTTTTGGCAGACAAATTTTATTTGCGAATTTTCGAGTTAGTTTGTTACCGTGACGTGCTGCGAAACTATTCGGGATGCGTTCAAAGTCATGTATAAATTGCGACTATCCATTTTGTATTAGTTTCACGGAATGTCTGTTCTGGTTGCATTCTATTTAGTGGTCAAATTGGCAAGGAGATTGGGTGTGCACATTGTGTGTGTTTATGAGATTCGTAGGTGCAGAAAATTTCTATAATATAAAGACCTGAGCAGCCACCAAACACAATTACCAGCCAATCCTGCACTACGCAGACAGTAAACAGATTACACAGAGTACCCACATTTCCTATACTGGCAGCAAATTTCTCTTGTTCAGTGTTGCAGTTTCGACAAAAGCCGAAATATGATACTCCAGTACAGTCTATATAGCACTTTTCACTACTGGTTTTGCATTTTCTTGTATCACTGCGTCGTTGCGCTGCTTTTAACATCGCTGGTAAGAAATACTGATCGCGTGTCATAGCAACACCCCCCCTGACAAATACCGAACATACCTGTCTAGTTGCCAGGATCGTTATTTTCGTTTGGTAGTTATAGTACTGTATTAGACCAGAAAAAAGACGGCGATGATTGTTCCTAATAGTTGCATTTTTATATATACTTTCTCAGGTGGAGGCTGCGGCGGGCGGTCTCTTGTATCCGGGCCTACTAGACAAATATAAATATGTCGTCGCTTAATGTAGCACTACCTAGTAACTAGTTTGTAGAGTAAAGATAGGCGCCATAAACAGGAAGTGCGATGTTCGAGCACCGACTAAACCATTCTAAAGTTCTCCGTGTCAGCCTGTTAACTGTTTTCCATTGGCCTTCCCATGCACCATGTGTGATTCACTTATGAGATGTATAATCGCACAATCTTACCTCACACCACTAAGCGTTGCGATGCACTTCTGGATTGAGATTGAAATAAGCGCAGTGGCCACCAATATGCTCCGGACCCGCTACGAATTCCCAGTCTAAATTTTATTTTAGGGGTGACTAACAACTACCCCAACTCTATTCATAGTGAATGTGCTATCATGGGTGTCGGTATTCGTCAAATGTAGATGATCACGATATGTAGTAATTAAAATTCACCGTTTATCAGGCGATTATGTAGCATCGATATTCCAAATTGCACAGCTCTTCAATAATAAAACGCATTCGTATGTAGTTATGGGGGAGGGAACTCTTAATCGCCTGTTGGAGCCTTTGTAAGTCTTTGTACCCCCATGATGAATCCGCATTGCATAGAGCTATCGCCCATAGACCAAAGGCCAGTGGTTAAAAGCCATAAACTTTGACCCCCTGGCCCTGGGACCTGAGTCTTCTACATTCTTGATCAGCGATCGACATTTTTCAGGGGAGTCAAGGCTCACTTTAGTTGATACCAGAATCCAGATGTGAATATTTTTTTTTTACTGCTTGTTCAATGTTCACACAAGAGAGAATAAGGCGGGAAGGCCAGGCCCCACCCAGTAGGCAGCAAGTCAGCAACCCAGCCCACATTCCCCACAACTTCTGAAATATTTTCGAAACAACAAGATAAATAAATAATAAATATTTATATTCCCCCTAAAAAGCATGATGAGTAAACCTATAAAGGTACTAAAGTAAAAAGAAAGAAAGAAACAAAATGCCCTTAAAAATTGTATTATATTTGGCTGTTTTTGCATAGCCTTCTGAATTATACATTTTTATATTTTTTAAAAGAAAAAAACAAACAGAACCAAGTATTATTTCTAAAAAAGGTGAGAAGCAGTCTAGTTTTCAGTCTATTTTCTCGGCGGTTCTGACTTTGACACTGTGTGGATTAAATACATGCACAAGTAGGCATGCTCAAGTAAACACCATGGTCCGCGGTGTTACATATGTACTTACTAAATACCGACGGGTCCCCGAAATCTGAGGAGAAAACCAAAGGTGGTCTCGTCGTAGTTCAGGCGAAAAATCTAAGCAGCAATCATGTACCCCAAATTTGAATTATTGGTCAACTATTTCCACAGGCCTCTCTGTATGTGATTTAGAATGTAGGCGTTGCTTTTATTATGCCTGGCTGCCTGCTCCTTAGGTCCAACTGAGTGCAATTTGGGACGGGCGTTATGAGATTGCTATCGATTAAAACTGGAAACACATCTCCGAAAGAGCAATAAAGAGTCGAAAGGCATGCACTTTTCATGTCCGCAGCAGTCTACGAATGAACAAGTTTTGTCAGATACGCATTGAGCAGGGAATAGCGTAATGTTTCATTTGCTTAATAATGGGTCGTGATATTACGTGCTGATGGAAGTATCTCAATATAACTCATTGTTGTTCAAAAGAATCGTCCTTGCCAGCATTTCCGTAAGGATGCTCGATAACAAAGGGTTGTGTCCCAATAGTTGAGACTTGTATCACATCATGTGAAAAACGAATTCTGTTGCAAGCAGGCACTAATTAAATATTTCCCACAGGATTGCTTTAAATGCCAGATTGTTCGTGTGTATTGTGAGAAAGCTTCAGATAGTCGTCCTCAAGAGTAAAATACCGTAATATTAAATGCATCGATTTGCATGTTGCTAAATTTTTGATGCTATGTGTTTCATATCGAGAATCCGACACTCCGATATCACATTCATTTTGTAGAATCGAAACAAAGTCGGATAGATCGACTGACTGAGAAGTCAAGTTTTTAGACATAGGTAGCCGCGCAGGTATACCGGCGGACCAGCTGTTTTAAGAAATGATACCAATGATTCCGTAATAGCATGCCCTTCAAGCGAAACAAAACTTCGACATCTACCTGCGTCCACAATGGTTGTTCCTCTACTGATTTAAATGATATGAAATGAAAATACACTCGTCCACATTAATAGCTAAGCTAGAATCTATCAGTCTTATACTATAACTCTTCATCAAATAAAGTATAGGATATACAGTATAATATACAGGCAAGTAGCTGGCTGTATAGGTAAGTAGACACTGAGGAGAGTGTATGTGGCTGCTTGTTTCCCAGAATTCAACCGGCAATAAGCCAACAGACCGATTAATCCCATGCGATGTTCACTGCGTATTCTTTTATTCACCATATGATGCGGACTGTTGTATCTCCATACCTACCGGTGTGGAACTGGACTTCGACACTTTACTAAATCTGAACAGAAATATAGTTGAGGTAGAATTGTGAGGTCTTGAAAGGCAAAGATTCAATATCTCTGTCTCAATTTTCACTAGCATTCATCTCAGACCTCTAATGATAAAACCTGTGACTATACTTGAGCCTGACATATAATTGCGCACTGTGTTTAATGTCGATTCACATCTGAGATGTCAACACACGGAGATCACATATTGTGCTCGATACAACCTTATGTACGATACCTACCTATTTTTGGTCATCGATGTCAGTAAGGAGGCTGTCTTGTCTAAGGGCTTCATACCCGTCACTTTGTCGAGCATATGTGCATTAGGGTAGTAATTCTTGCTCTTCCTTTTCCTTTCATTTGAGTCTAAAGAGAAAATAAACGTGCAAGATGTTTTTAGCACTTAAAATCGTTATGCACCGGTCTCCGCAACATAATTTGTGCTTTCACACTGTCAATTGCATAGCTTCAAAAGGCTCTGCTTTTTACAGAGCGAGATCCCGACCGGCACATATAACACACGATCTGGTAACCGTCAAAACGTCAACATAATCGTATACAGTACAATACGGCTTGCCCGGTGTTGAATAATCGGAACGAAACGCCCTTATGAGCTGCATGACATGTACATGTACATGTTCTTGTTGTATTAAAGGCCAGTTGAACATGTTGGTGAGAAAGGCAACCGTTGTTGGAACAGGCGTTCGTTACTTGTACGCAAGGCGAGGCCGAATCTATTCATAGCTCAAACATGTTAACGTTGAGTATCCAACAGCAACGGTAAACTTATAAACTAACGCTAAAAGTTGAAGTACATCCTTGTACGCCACATACTCGAAGAAGGGGCACCAAAAGACTGAACCTGCATGTATGTTTATCATAATTACACCTCCTTATATTGCAATTGTATGGTAAATATTTATCGTATTCATCATAATAAGGCTGCATCCGCAGATCATTTACTATATGTCAACTAGATATGCGAGCCGGCAGTATCTGTACCGTTCAAATAATATTTTAAAAAGATACACACCCAAACACAACAGTCTAGAGCTACGAAACCACACACAACAACTTGGATTCTCAATATTTTATCGAAACGCTACCAACCCACACACAATCATTTTGGTCGTTTACACAATCACATTACACACTTCTCAACATCTTATCGAAAGACTAACCTCTGCGGACATGTGCGAGCTCGGGGGTACTGAGTGATTCGGTAGTGCTGTTTAGGGAACTCTGCTGACTAACTCTGAATAATCTGTCTGAATCACCATCAGTAGCTGATACATCATCTACACTACCGCAGATCGTTTCCAGTAAGCTCTGTGGCGATAGAGTGGGACAGTGGATGAAGTCCTGACATTATGTGGTTACATGTACGCATATACTAGTCATTAGTTGTAATGAGGTCGTCTACATACTTGCTGATATTATATCACCACGCTGACGCTGGATTGCCTCTGGGCTGAGTGGGGAATAAGAAAGCAAAATCTAAAATGCACAAACGTACAAGTGTGCTCTATTGAACGAAATAGCGGCAGTTATGTCATACATATGTGTGTCTCTAGTGGCACTGTGTTAAACCTGTTTGAACCATGATTACACGCACTGCGGATCTTTATGTGTATCACCCAGGTCTCAATGTACATTGTTTGTATATATACTTGCTACCGATGCACCACAGACTCAGTTTTCAATTAAATCTTTGAAGCCATTTCAATGGACGCTATCGAATAAGATGTAGAAACGTATACAAATGTAGGCGGCATGGTATGTTGACTCTAAATGCGTAATCTGAAGAGATTGTACACTTTTCTTGCTAGCAGTTGTACACATACGAATCGAGAGTGAAAGACAAACGTGGAAGAGCGACGCACTGAGAGTATCGGTATATGGCTCAGTGGCAAACATATCTGTGGATTCAACATACCGTATCAATAAAGCGCTCATGGTCTGACACGGTGAGTGTGCGCGAAGAGCCTTTTCCGGTTAACTCAGTGCTGCCCAGAGACTCGGAAGATATTGCCGTCGCCAATTCAGCGGAACCCGTCCTTCTGTTGAAATGTGCGCGTGTTTAGCGAGTACCAGAGTATGGTCTAGCAACCATGAAACGATACACAAGGTTTGAGCCATATCGTTCTTGCCAACGTATGAAGGGGTAAAACACCAGTATAAATACAATGTCGTTCCCATATATCACCTTGTAGCGTCTGTTTAACTACGTGTACCTTATCACGACGATAGGCCCCTCTGCCCCCACCGCTGACTGCGACCGCCGATGCATCAGACTGTGACCGAGGATTTCAAAGGGTAGTTAATGATATATTAGTAAACTGATGACGGAATAAGCTTTCAGTGTGATAATAGCCATCACGCTAGTAGAGTGCGCACACGCCTCTGCATTAGTAGGCGCCAGCATTCAAACCGCTGGAAGGTGGCGGCGTGTGATTTGACGGCGGTCAGAGTACGGTATTCAATACTGTCTAGAGTGGGCACGTAGATAACCGCATACTCCACAGCCGACACAATTCTGTACGCTCTGGAACTGCGCATTCTTGCGCTAGTTTCACACTGAAGCAAATTCAATCGCGTGCAGCGATTAATACACACAAATGGTTACGTATTGCACAATAATAGCGCAGTATATAGCACAGGCATACGTACACTGATAGCTAACACAAAGACAGCTGGCGCGCATACATACCCTTCCAATTATAAAAGCAACGAAATCTACTCATGGCAGTTTCTGTCCCCTGCTAAACGGATAGAAGCCTTGCATAGACGTGCGAGTCCCGTGCAAACATGAACTCTAGTCACGGGTAGTCTAATTGAGGTCATACGCAACAACTGATCATATGTCGGCATACACAGTCTTAGCCCTGACACACGCCAACAAGGCACCACGTGCCGATAGACGTCGTGCATGTGCACACAATTCAACAACACTGTCAACTACTTACAGGTTCCCGTGGGAGCCAGCGGTGTACTCTTTGAACCGCTCTATCGATCCACACATATTCGTCGGAGACAGGGTGCGCCTTGAGTTCTGTCCAATGAAAGTTGTAGGGGAAACCAAGTCAGTACTGGTATTTGTCTCGACAGCTGATATGGGTCTTTCCTGACGAGTTAAATATCTTCCTGCAGCACGATTGTTGTTGCTTGTCAGCTATTAGTAGCGAGTGTCGTCAGATGGTACGGTGGTTGGTTGGGTGCGGCAAGAGGCTAGATAGTTGCAGGCAACTGCTCACACTATAAGTCTGGGACCTTTCGGTACGAGTAATACGTTTAAAAGATTCTTTATGGGCTTGCCACTATAATCGAGAGACTGAAAGCAGTTGCATATGAATAGTACAAACTTGCTATGGAGTTAATACTCCATCCAATACAAATTGCATCGCAATGTCAATACGGACAAAGTGCATGATTTTGGAATATGTCAATATTGTTTATTGGCCACGAGTCCTTTCAAAAATATTACGCATAATCAGGATATCACTACACACCATACGGGCATATATATATATATATATATATATATATATATATATATATATATATATATACTACTACTACACTACACACACACACACACACACACACACAACAC